GCAATATAGAAGCTGAAGATAATGATCAAGATAGACCACTCCATTTAGCATGTGGATCAGGAAACATAGACATTGTACGTCATCTTGTGATTGATAAACACTGTGATGTTAATGCTAAAGGGAGGAATGGCTTAACTCCATTACATATGGCATGTTTAAATCGTAATTTTGAAACTGTTCAATTTCTTACCAATTCCACTGAATGCAGTATAGAAGCTGAAGGTAATGATCGAGATAGACCACTCCATTTAGCATGTGCATCTGGGAATGTAGACATTGTACGTCATCTTGTGATTGATAAACACTGTGATGTTAATGCTAAGCGGAACGATGGCTTAACTCCATTACACATGGCATGTTTAAATCGTAATTTTGAAACTGGTTCAATTTCTTACCAGTTCTACTGAATGCAATATAGAAGCTGAAAGTGATCTTCAAAATAGACCACTCCATTTAGCATGTAAATCAGGAAATGTAGACATTGTACGTCATCTTGTGATTGATAAACACTGTGATGTTAATGCTAAGCGATACGATGGCTTAACTCCATTACACATGGCATGTTTAAATCATAATTTTGAAACAGTTAAATTTCTTACCAATTCTACCAAATGTAATATAGAAGCTGAAGATAATAATCAAGATAGACCACTCCATTTAGCATGTCGATCAGGGAATGTAGACATTATACGTCATCTTGTGATTGACAAACACTGTGATGTTAATGCTAAAAGGTTTAATGGCTATACACCATTACATTATGCATGTGAAAAGGGTCCTTTTGAAGTTTTTAAAATTCTGATTAATCATCCACAATGTAATATTGAAGCTGGAGATAAGTACAGTGAAAGACCACTACACAAAGCGTATAAATCTGGAAATGTTGACATTGTACATCATCTTGTGATCGAAAAAAACTGTGATGTTAATGCTATATGGCGGTATGGCAATACATTATTACATGATGCATGTGAAAAGGGTAATTTTGAAATTGTTAAAATTCTGACTAGTCATCCACAATGTAATATTGAAGCTGAAGATAAGTACAATAGGAGGCCATTGCATGTTGCATTCAGCTCTAAAACTAGTAACTCTATGGACATTGTCAATTATCTTGTTGAAGTTAAAGGCTGTACAATAACTGATGATAACAAAATTCAAAAATATTTTTATATTCGTCAATCCAGCGGTATAGCATTATTACGTGTTGTTAAGTGTATATTGACAGGTCCTCCTGGTGCTGGTAAGAGTACATTAAAGAAGAGACTCCTCAATCAATCTCTTGATACAGGTCCTTCTCTTAGTACTGGTGTAATTGATGCAGCTGTACAAGTTAATTCATTTCGTAAACTATCACAGCACAATGCAGTAGTGACTACAGAATGGAAGGAACAGGAACTTGATGAAGAAGCTGTACTGATCACTAAGAAACTATTACCAGCAAACAACACATCAGATGAAAGTACTAGACCTACTGCACCTCTTGAAACATCAGTTGAAAGTACTGGTATACCTCAGCCTATGTCAGTGGATGAGACAGTAGATCTAACTTCATCAAATGAAGACAAACAAGAGTCATTAAAGGAATTTGATTTGTCTCCTATTACGAGTCAACAGGGCAATAAGAATGTTTCTACATCTTCACCAGTGTACACGGAAGCAGCAATTGACACAGTAGTCATTGATGAGAGTTCAATTATGGAGCATGAAAATGTACCCAATTCACCTGCAAAAATAATCAATTGCAAGGAAGAAGAAAGTAATACTGAAGTACAAAATAACAGCAATTCAGTAAATCAAAGGTTTATCAGATTATGTAATGAAGATACCTGTTAGAAAAAGACAAGAATACGAGGAGAAGTTTGAAGAAGGAAATGATGACAATCACACAATATTACACATCATTGATACTGGAGGACAACCTGAGTTTCATGAAATATTACCAGCTCTTATAACTGGCCCAGCTATCAATCTACTGGTATTCAAACTAACTGAAGATTTAAGGAGTCGCTATGAAATAATCTATCGAACCTCTGCTGGTGATTCTAAACCTTATGAAACCTCATTGACACATGAAGAAGTGATATC